CTATTTTCTGATAGATTTTTATTTAACTATACTGATTATTTTGATTTGTATCGTAAATCATGTATTATTTGTTACATAAACGAATAATGAGAAATTATTTAATTTAATTAAATTTATTGTGTATCTAAAGAATTTGTAGTATGCTAAATTATAAGTATACAAATGGAAAGATACTGCTGAAATTACTGTTGCTACGCCCACAAGAAAATGAAACAAATTACGAAGATATAATATACGAATATAGTCTAACAATACGAATTACATGACTTACCATACAAAATAAAATAATGAGAGATGAATAAATGCATACAAGTATAAATGCATCAATGCGTAAATGGCGAGGCCCCAGCAAATGCAGCAGCCACAGTGTACACAGAGACGATTACAAGTGCATTAATGAATTAATAATGATGATAAGAACAATTTGAATGATATTATACAATAATTTAATGAGTTAATAGTCACTTATTGCTATAAATTTAGCAGTAATAGAACGAAAAGAAGGTAAGGAAGTGGAAGAAATAATAACTCGATTGATCTTTTTCTGATTTTTCTATCAAACCATTATATTTATCATCCCTTTTTTTTTGCTATAACGAACTCATTTCTCTCAGTACAGGATATCTGTCGGATAAAGTGTGCTGTATGGGAATGTTAATAATAACTACTTATATATTTTCTGTTAACAAATATAGTTGGTAACGAAAACGATTACAATTACAGTATTGTAATTATAAAAATGATTGCAATTACTATAATTTATAATTATAACTTATTAATCATTTTTTGACTATATGGCCAATCATATTTTGCAGTAATAAGTGATAACCATAATAGTAATATGTAATTATAGTTATTATAGAAATAAAAAGATTTTCTCTTAGTATGAAACACAAAGGAAAAGTAACATATTTTGCTGTAAGTAATATTTTTAATCTATCGTAATTTTCTTGCAGAGAATCTTCTTCATAAGTTTAAAAGTTCTGACTTTTTTGAGAGATTTTACTTTGTTTAAATTTTATATTCAACGCGCAGAAAAACGCAATTTACATTCATCTGCATTATGTTTTAGATTAAAAAAAAAACAAGAAAACGAGAAAAGTAATTATTTATAATTTATTACTATTTTTATGGTTATCTTAATTTTTTTTTAAATTCTTTTTTAAATTCAGAAAAATAGACGTAATAGTAACAGCTACAAAAATGACAACCACACAAGTGTTATATGTAGAATTAATGTATATAATCAAATAAATTATTTTATAATTCATTCAACTATTATATAATCTATTACATTAATTTTATAAAACATAAAACTTGTATTGTTATCATTTTTACAATTGACATTATCGTGTTTCCTCTCAGTGTATATTGATGCCTTTTGGGATTATTCGCTTTTACGGAGCTTCGACTACCCCGGGCGGATATCTCTTCGATCTTCGAGTTTTTGAACTCACTGTTCACGAACACGAAGATCCATCATTGAGATTCACATGGTGGATCTTGTCGTACAAGAAAAGAGTTGTTATCCGTGACAGCGTGAACACCCCGACAGCATTGATTCTATCCTCGCCTCGTGGTGAAACGCTGACTTCGGGTGGTGGAACATGAAAGGATAACGATACGCGGAGGAGACGGGTTGGAACCGATCTACATTCTGCAAGGATTATTCGAAGCAGTGGCAAATGCTGATGTCGTGTATACATTTGCAGACATAAAGTTCCTCATTTCATGTCGTGTGCGCGTTCAAGCACGAAGCTCTTCAAAACTGAAAGAAATCGAGACTACTGTTGGCCGCACTGCGATTCCGTAAGAAATGTTTCGGAAATTTTGTTTTTTCATATACATGATACGCTTGCAAAGCAATTTTTTTCTAAGAATCAACATTATTTTTTCACGGAAATTTAAGAGCGAGAAATGGCAACTCATTATATAGGTATAGCAGAGATAATAATAATGTATAATAAGAGAAAGCTTAAATGAAATCTTCGAATTTTTAGAAAGCCTTGATTTCTTAGAATTCTACTTTTTTTCTAGTAATTCAACATAGAGATTCTGCGGAGAACTGTATTTCATGATTTGCAATTCTTCGAAAATTGTAGCTTTTGCACTTTATAAGGGAAGAATATCTTTCTATCCAATCTCAGCACTTTAGTCAGCATGATAATCACTCAATATTACAGAGAAAGAAACTGCAGTAAAAATAAATGGACGCGACGCATTGAATTCTTGAGAGAACGGAAATTCCTTGAAGCATAAAATCCCACTGCAGGCTTGCCCTTTTCGGGGCAAACCAACCCCTGTAATATTAACGTGGCTACATCACTCTGCACTTTTCACGCGGTTTCGAGGGCTCTGATCGATGGCGAATGAATTAACGTTTCGCCGCGGAGCATCCCAACCGATGATAAATATTCAGTGAACCGTCTCAATCTTCCCTTGGCCTTCTCGCGATTGTGTACTTTTATCATTTATCAGTCACTAGTAATTTATTCAGAGAATCCCGCAAAGATAGACTGCAATAAGCAGAATGTGCAAACTGTGAGCAGTATTTATAGGTACTTCAATGTCGACCAACTTACTAAAATGTTGCTAGCTGTGTATACACGGTGCCCTGCAAGAATCATCATCCCTCACGTCCATCGGTTTATTTACCCTCGCGTTATAACAGTATAACTGTTGCGCGAATGTTGACTAATTATTATTCAATAATGACGTAAAATATGCAGAATGTGTAAATTACGATAAATGAAATATATGACTATAATTTGTATTTTGCTGCAGTACATATTTTATTACCTTTGTACATACTTTGTCATTTGTCTCGATTTTTAAATTACACGAAATGTTACAAATTTTATAATTTATAATTTCTTGAGTATTTAAGTTTTTTAATTTTATAATAGTACAATTTATCCTTTATATATAATAAATATTAATTTTATGAATAATAATTCATTTCAAACAATTAACGCAATTCGTTATTCAATTTTAGATTCCACGAAGTGTTATATTCTGGAACTTGTAGTTTATCGAAAATTTTAGTTTAAATTGTATAAGAGAGAAATTTATCTCTCATTCAGTCAAAATATTAATTTTACCAGTAATAATTCATTACTCATTTCAAACAATTAATGATTCATTAATTTTAGATTCTGTATATGTTTTGCGATTTGTAGGTTATTGAAAATTCTGGTGAATTTCTAAAAGAAATGTAGGATTTCTCTTATTTAATTAGATTTATAAAAGAAATATTTATTTTTCAATCCATCAAAATATTGACTTTAAATTTATAAATTATATTTTAAAAAACATTAGTGTAGGTTGAACTCCATGCGGTGTCCATATAATTTCCACTACCTTGATGTTAATATTAATACCGATATCCACACCATGTGGTTGATATAAACACCATTATATAAAATTTATGTTAAATCCACACAATATTAGATCAATATTAACCAATACGGTAGAAATTATATGAATACCGTGGAGTTAAATCCACAACGATATTTTTTGGAATGCATGAATAACACAATAATGTATTACAATTATGTGCCATTTACCAATTTTAGATTCTACAAAGTGCTGTATTCTGCAATTTGTAGTTTAGCGAAAAATTCGTTTTCTGAATTTTGTAAGAGGAAAATGTATTCTTAATCCGATTTACCAATTTTAGATTCTACGAAGTGCATATTCTGCAATTTGTGGTTCATCGGAACTTTTTGAATTTTAAAAGAGGAAGATTTATCTTTCATTCCGTTGAAATATTAACTCTACGAGTAACACAATAATTCATTTCAAACAATCAACGATCCATCATTCATCAATTTTAGTTTCCACAACGTTATGCTCCGCAGTTTGTAGTTTATCGAGAATTTTACAAGAGAAAAATTTATTCTTTAATCAGTCGAAATATTAACTTTACGGCAACAATTTCTAACAATTTCTAACAATCGATCAACAATCGAATATTTAGACCTTTCCGAATATAATAATAATAAAAACTTTATATAAATATATATTAGGTGTTGGAATTAATTCGTAGCGTTTTTTAATGAAAGAATGTTATTTATTTCACATGAGCATTAAAAAATACATTAATGAAAGTACTTCCCATCACTTGTAAAACGCTACGAATTAATTCCAACACCTAATAAAACTGGTAGAATCGTCGAGAATTCAACACGTACTTTTCAAAAACTGCTTCGTTAATTGGATTATTGAATTCAACCACGCGGATTCTCACTCTTTCTGTCTACTGGCGTTAAGTTTATTACAAACTATTCAAACGATGGCCATGTTTGCGATGTTTTGTAAACAGGAACCAGAGGAGTTCCCAAGATTGTGACTCATGCTCCCGAGTGTTTAACTTCTGAATCGTCGATGAGTTTACTCTCCGTACGATCCTAAGCTAAAGCGTATTTATGAAGGTCCCGGCAAAAGTTTGATTAGTCTATTAGCGGGTCAAGTGCGAGTTAATTGAACGTTTGATGTATAAGATATAAGTCGCGAACGCGTCACTATCGGTTGGAAAACCTTGCATTAATTATATCCCGAAGGTTCACGATACACGTGACACATAATATACAACGGGAACGAGATAAAATTGATCGAATACGCTTCCATCGGAAAATGATGTCAACCGATATTAATCGTTCTCGCTTTTCTACGTTGTCATCCCGAAACTTCAATCGCGCGTCCTAAGTTTACAGAAACTTAGTCCCAAAGACTTAAGCAAGAGATAAGAGGTTTATCCCTAGTCTTGTAATTGCGCCGTATTATATAAGTTAGAAAATCGGATCAACGAGATGTCGGGAAAGTCAAGAAGACTCGAAGGAAAATCGACTATATTTATACCACGCGGGATCCGCGATCATCTCAGGAGCTTAACTCTTATCCGTGCGGTTTACGTTACTTAGCTTCTCTCTCTCGCGCGAAACTGTCAAGCAAAATATCTTCGGAGGAACAACTAACAGGTCATGGATTGTGAGGCTTACCTTGCTGTAAACACCGGCGCTGGACAGTTCGTTTTCGACGACCATCATGATGATGCCGAACATGCCCATGACGAGGGCATAGTCGCTGATGCGCTTGCGAGGATCGAGAGAGTCGACACTGGCTTCCGCAGCTGGAACAGCGGCGAGCAGGAGCACGATTAAGAAGAGAAGAGGCCTGCAGTTCGTGACGCGCGTGTGCTCGTGTCGTGCATTAATTGCTGTGCGTGGGAGAGCGTGCAAAAGCGCCCGCGTAAATCACTTTTATATCTCGCGTAATTGCACTCTTTGACAGGGAAAAGTTATGCACAGGTTTAGACAAAAGGGTTATTATCTCGGAAGTGACAGATATGGCGAAATGTCACGGAACTATTTCAATTTCTCTCGACAAGACGTATGAGAAAGGTCTTTTCTCATAGTCTTGTTAAAGTTGTATTTATCACTGTTATCGTTAAAGAGGTTCTCGCGTTTGATGAAATATAAGTCTAATACAAGTCTATGATATACATGTAATACAAAAGTTAACGATGTCGATAATATCTAGAAAAAATTTCATTGACTTTTACCGTATCATTTTGATGATATTTAATTATAAATTTATAGAATTTTACGTTACAAGTTGAAGGTATAACCTTATTCTCTTTTAAATTGAGACACTTGCGTATAAGACAGCAATTTAAAAATCGTTACAATTATAAAGTAAACACTTAAGTTTGTTCTCGTAAAGTTTCATTTAAACTGACCGTACAGTTTACAAGAAATTTATATTCTTTAATGAAGAGAAAGCTAGAATATATGTCAAATGAACGAATGTGTATATCAAATGAGCATCTTATAACTTTTATTTTGTCATTTTTAAAATATTTAGTAACATATAAAATTAACAATAATTATGTATAATAGCATAAGATGTTGTTAGTAACCTTTTTATTCCATTATTTTAATTGTTTTACATATTATTATGAATAAACTGTCTATTGACTAGGAAGTAGCGCGAGAACCTCCTTAAACGATCCCAATATCTGAATCTATGTGTAACTTTTTGTCAAAGTGTATATCTATTTCGACTTCGCGTGACTGTTCTTTGCCATCTCGGTTTTGAATTTGATTCAGAAATTCAGTCAAATTCGTCCTCGATAGAGGAAGAGTAGCGTAACTCGTGCTTGAAAGAACGCAACAGAACGCGAGTTATATGAGTTGTGTAAGTAAATCGAAGCGGTGGATCGAGTGTATTGAAGTCAATAGAATTATGTAGAAA